CTGCGAAGTTTCCTCAATCCCAACCCCTTTAGCCAGTGATGTAGAGCCGTGTCTCTTGTAGCAGGACATCCAACTAAGCAGCACAACTGCTTCTGCAAGGGGCAGATGAGACAGATGACAATCATGTCTGTTTACTCACATGGTCTCATTACTACATTGCACACCAGCAAACAGCAGAAACAAATTTGGTTAGTTAGGGTGTGTTTGGGACCAGTCTTGGATCAAATTAGCCTTTTCCTGCACTGTCTGAGCATGTGCTGCTCTTGTAAAGCACGTAGTACTTAGGAATCCTTTGCACCATAAGTATTATTGGTATGCAAATCTGAAAAAAATCATCATTAGAAAGGTACTTCTGAAGTATTATTCTTACACTGGACACGCATGAGCTTTAGTGGACTGTTAAATACTAGTTTAATTGTACTAGTGTGAAGGATTTGAAACTAAAGTCTGGGCTGGAACTAAGATGAAAATAAATTAGAGAAAAGGCACATTTAAAATACACCAGGCAAGCCATCATGCTCTATGTATCTGAGCTCTGCCTGCTTTTTATTCCCATTGGAGCCTCTGCTGTTCTTAAAGATTTAGCAATGACACTCAGTGATGCACAGCTGCTTTTGAAAAACGCAGAAAGTAAGGCAAGGAAGATGTAAGCATAACCACTAGCCATGAAGAATAACACCTGAGAAGTGCAGTTATTTATCTGAAAAACTGCTATCAAAGCAATTAATTTCATAAGAGCTGATGTTTATCTTTTATCACCTATCCAAGATAACCAGTATCAAGTAGAAGAGACATTGGCTTTCTGCAATGTGTAACCACTCAGTGATCTCAAATGCCTGGTTTGACCAAACATGTAATCCTTAGCCTGTTTGTCCATCATATTTTCAGGATTAATGTAGAAAAATCAGATGAGGAAGATGATATATGATTGTTTCCAGTGCCATAAAATTTTCAATCCAGGTTACCTGTTTAAATCGTGTTTTCAATCTCCTTGCCCCTATGTATTTAGATTTCTGTACATAAGCCTCCAAACATTTCTCCACTCCTACATTAATCCTTATGGGAAAATTTGGTTCCTACTCTCCACAGAACTCAGCTGCTTTATCTGCAAGCCTGACAGCAGCACTTTTAATCAGCAGTGGAATGCAAACAATAGCTGCAGAAGCAATGGTATGCAAAGCACGCCAGTATTAGCTATTTCTTCATTCCTTCTTTATTCATCATATTAATGCTTCAGTTCAGGTCATTTTTTGCATTAAGCATTTGTACATTAACCACTTGTAGAACTTGAAGTGAACTTCACTGCTTTCCTTTATTCCAAATGAAAATTGAGACAACAGGTAAAGTGAATCTTTACAAACTATATTTTTTACTGTAACTACTTTAGAAACAAGCCTAGGACACGGCAAAGTTGTCAACATCTTCTAAAACAAGCTCCATAAGCAGGGGAGATATGTTTGGAGACTTTTTCAGCTTTGCACCACTGCTAAACCAAATAAATTGACACCATATACATATACCACTTTATATATAAAGTCTAAAAAAATCAAATGTCTTTCTAGGATTAAAACACTAAAAGTACCTAATAATTTAATTTTTAAAATTTCCAGTCAAGATTTGATCTAAATTATATTCTACAAGTTCATTAGCTAGTAGCTGTGATAAAGTGAAAGGGAAAGGGTGGCCTTATTCCTATCTTTGTTTAAAGTGGTCAGCATCCAAGGCACACAAGTATTATGAAAGGCATCAGGTTTTCCCACTATAGGAAAACAAAGCCCAAGGCCAGGCTGGATGGCGTTTGGAGCAACCTGGTCTATTGGAAGGTGTCCATGTCCCTGGGAAGGCCCCTCCCTGTGAGGGAGGTTGGAACTAGAGGATACTCAAGGTCCCTTTCAACCCAAACTTTTCCATGGGTCTACCAAAGTTCACAAAAATGAAAATGCTCCCTGTTTTAGAAGAATATTTATATGGGCACATTCAGGAACCTACCATTCTACAGCAAAGAATCAACATAAATTCAATGACATGACATCAGATAATTAATCCTCAGTTATCTATCATTCGTAAAGTGCTTCAGGTAACCTGTTGTTTAATATACACTGGGACACACTATCCAAAACACCAACAAAATGGTAGTCTCAAATGCCTGGAAAGCCACTGAACATGCAGGGCAGAAATGGAATTTTTCTACTTAATTATCGTTCTATTCTTTCTGCTTAATTATCCTTTCTATTTTTCTACTTCATTACCCTTCTGAACTCCAGCAGCCAAGAAGCAGAGCACTTGTTCATGGCAAAGCAAACTGGTACGTGCTGTGAATATTTCCATACAAACTGACATAGAGCTGGCTTATATATATATATTTATTTATTTCAGTGCAAGTATCTTACTTGAGAACAAATAAACACTCTCCTGAGAAGCGACTCTCTCATAATCACCTTCTGCTAACTGCAGGGGAGGAGCAGCAAGGCCGGGGAAGGCTTTTCAGGAGTTCCATCCCTACCCGTCATAGAACCGAGATGTGTTTCAAGTCATAAAAATAAACTCAAAAAAACCCTCCAAACACCCAACTCTGCCTCAGTCTCTCTCTATTCCTGACTCACCCCGGGATCCCCATTAACCCCATATCATCCTCAAAACACACAGAGATGCTCTCAAGAGCCTCACCTCAACCCCGATTTCAGTGGGGCCGAGCATCTGAGCTCCACCCTTGAGCTCCTGCCTTCTCTTCATCCTTAAACTGACAGAAATAACCCCAAAATATATTAATCTGAAGCTCACAGAAGTGCCCCTGACACTCCTAGGCAAGGAGGTACCCTTGGTCCCACAGCACCCCAAGCACGAATTTCACAAAAAGGTCGCTAAAACACCCCAGCACTACCCCCCCCCCCAAGCTTACTGAGGGCTCCTCAAGCTGTCCCACCCAGTCCCCCCCATCAAACTCAAACCATCTCGAGCTCAGAGGGGTCACCAGCCTCCCCCCAAACTCACAGAGCAACCCCAGAGCTGCCCTGCCCCCGCACCCAAGGGCTACGGAAAGGCCCCCAAAGCCAAACTCCCAAAGGGGCCCCTCAGCTGACCCCCACAGCACCCCAAGCTCCCAGAGCGGTCCCCGAGCCCTCCAACCTCACAAAGAAACTCCGACACAGCCCCTCCCAGCCCCACCCTGCCTCAGGCTTACAGAGCCCGAACTTCCCCGAGTCTGTCCCCTCCCCCCCACGCTCACAGAGAGGTCACCGAGACCGCCGCAGCGCCCAGTCTCACAAATGGACACCTAAACACTTCTCCCCACCGCCACACCTCCTTACAAAGAGGTCCCCGAGCCCCCCGTACCTGCCGGACGAGCCCTGAGGGCGCTCAGCTGAGGCGGCTCACGCTGCACCCACCACCGGCCGCGGCCCCTCCTCCGCCGCCACACGATTTCAAACCCAACGGCAGCCCCGGCCCGCCAATGAGCGAGCGGCGTTCGAGGCGCGCCCGCCAATCAGAAGAGCGCTCTGCGGGACGGGGAGGGCACAGCGCCACGCGTGACCGTTGCGCCCTCACTCCCCCAGAGTGCGCCCCCGCGCGGGGAAGAGCGGGCAGTGCAGGCGCGGCTCCCCCGGGACAAACTCCCCTGTCCCCCACACTGTCCCCGTGTCCCCAACAATGTCCCCGTGTCCCCAACAATGTCCCCGTGTCACAACCGCGCCGGCCGTGGTTGCCCCATCCCTAGCAGTGTTCAAGGCCAGGCTGGATGGGGCTCTGAACAAGCTGGGCTAGTGGAAGGTGTCGTCGCTGCCCATGACGTGGGGTTGGAATGAGATGAGCTTTAAGGTTCGTTCCAACCCAAACGTTTCTATGATTGTACAGTCCCAGCTGTTCTGCTTCAACATGCTTTTGCACGAAATCAAGAAAACTTGCTGCTTCACAATCCGCTTTTTATTACTGAACTTCACAGTGCATTCAGCACATTAAAACAGTCCTTAGTGTTGAGTCACCAGACAGCAACAACGAAATGATTGTTAAAACAACAAACTTGTTAACAAGGATGTCTTTTAGAATGAAGTAAGATGCAGGGAATCCAAGAATGATTTTACCGATGTAATCATCCTCAAGAGTCACTCAACAACCATGAATTCCCGATCTCCATCACCGCAGTAACACATCAGCCATCTGCCAGCATTAGGATGTCACACCCTGTAGGTAGCATTTACTATTGACTTGGTCTCCCCTCAGCAGTAGCATTATAACATCACATGCAGCATTCTCTGCCTTTTCTAGTTATACAATCTCGCCTTTCTCTAAGAGATAAATATGGAAGTTTGTGGTTACAACAGGGAGCGTGCAGGGGGTTTCCTATATTCTGTAAGAAACAGCAAATCTTGTGGCTATTAGCTATTATTTGTACTTCAATAGTAACAAGATATTCCACTCAGACCTCTCCCTTTACTGTTTGGCGTTGTACAAAGATACACTGAAATACGCCTCCCTTTAAAGCATTTTAAGATCCTACATCCTTGTCTTATTAGAAAATATTAGAAAGCATTACATAAAATACACAAGGAGAAACAAAGAGAAGCTTTTCCCGACGCTTAAGTAACACAGGCCGTTTCCCTGCTTCAGAAAGACGCTGCCCTGATCCAACAGAGCTCTTTTACGTTCATGAAGAACTGGAATCGGTTCCTTCTGCCAGGCCTGCGGAGCGTGACCTGGAGCACGGACAATGCCGGAGGCCACGGGCAGGGGCTGGGCGGGAGCGGGGTGCGGGAGAGGCTCCCGCTGGAACGGGGACGTGGCTCGGGACTGGCGGCAGGGCAGGCGCGGATGGGTGGAGGGGAGGGAGGAGATGGAGGGAGGGGAGGGAGGAGATGGAGGGAGGAGCGGGGACCGTCAGCGCCAGGGGAGGCGGGTCCCGCCCCGGCGGCCCCGGCGGCCCGGCAGCGCCCGCGCCGCGCATCCGGGGGTGCGGCGGGAACTACCGCTGGAGAACCCGGGGGAACTGCCGCTGGAACATCCGGGGGTGCGGCGGGAACTGCCGCTGGAGAACCCGGGGCTGCGGGGGGAGCTGCCGCTGGAGCGGCGGGAAGCAGCGCTCCCCGCCGGAGCATCCGGGGGTGCGGCGGGAACTACCGCTGCCGGAGCCCCCGGCGCCCCACGGGGCGCAGCATGGAGAGCCCCGCGGTCACCTTCACGCTGGCCTACCTGGTGTTCGCCGTGTGCTTCGTGTTCCCGCCCGACGAGGTGCGCTCGGCGGGGCTGACGGTGCAGAGCCTGCTGTCCGCCTGGCTGGGCAGCGAGGACGCGGCCTTCGTGCAGTACCACCTGCGGCGCAGCACCGGCACGCTGCTTGCCCACTCCCTGCTGCCCCTGGGTGAGTAGCGCTGCGGCTGCCCTGCAGAGAGCACCCCGAGCTGTGCAGCCAGCGGGGCTGCACATGCACTCACAAAGGAGCTGCAGTTTGAGTACAGGCTGGGGAATGAGGGGCTGGGGAGCAGTGCCAGGGAAAGGGACCTGGGGGTCCTGCTCAGTGGCAAGTTGAACGTGAGCCAGCAGTGCCCTGGAGCCAGGAGGGACATCCCTGTGCTGGGGACATCAGGCACAGCATCACAGCCGGGCAAGGGAGGGATTGTCCCGCTCTGCTCTGGGCTGGGGCGGCCTCACCTCAGTGCTGGGGGCAGCTTTGGACACCACAGCATAAAAATGACATTAAACTATTAGAGAGTGTCCAAAGGAGGGCAACAAAGATGGGGAAGGGCCCTGAGGAGAAGCTGTGTGAGGAGAGGCTGAGGGCACTGGGTCTGTTCAGCCTGGAGAGACTGAGAGGAGAGCTCAGTGCAGTTACAAATTCCTGCAGAGGGGAAGAGGAGGGACAGGCACTGATCTCTGCTCTGTGGTGACAGTGACAGGACTGAGGGAATGGCCTGAGGTTGTGTCAGGGGAGGTTTAGGTTGGATATCAGGAAAAGGTTCTTCCCCCAGAGGGTGGCTGACACTGAACAGGCTCCCCAGGGCAGTGGTCACAGCCCCAGCCTGACAGAGCTCCAGGAGTGTTTGGACAATGCTCTCACGCACATGGTGTGACTCTTGGGGTGTCCTGTGTAGTGCTAAGCATTGAATGGATGATCCTTGTGAGGCCCTTCCAGCTCATCATCTTCTGTGATTTAACCAGGGAATGCAAATCGATTTCCTTTAGCCATATAATTCTCCTAAAACTAAGTGGCATCTCACAGATAATTTTATTCAACAACAAAATTCAGATCACTTTCCTTTAGGTATGTAATTCTGGTAAAAATCAGTGATGCCTAAGAATTTATCTCAGCTTGCTTGTGACAAGAGGCTTGAAGTCATCCAGAAGTACAGTACCTCTCTTGGAGGTGAACTCACTGGTTAGATACCATATGTTTCATGGGTATCTGTTTTTGCAGGTACTTACTTGTTTTCTGAAAGTAAGGTTTTTTTTTCCTTGCAGGTTATTACCTTGGTATGTGCTTTGCTGCACCTGAAAAACATCTTTGTTTTTTCTACCTGGCCTCAAAAGAGTGGAAAACTTTCTTCTTCTTCGCCGTTCTCCTCCCAGCAATCACCAGTGCCCTGGCATATTACTGGTCACGGAAAGGTTGGAATAATCACCCTCTAGCCCGGACACTCGCTGTTCACGCCCTCCCGCAGTCGGGTTGGAGGGCAGTAGCTTCTTCCATCAACACAGAATTTAGGAGAATCGACAAATTTGCTACCGGAGCACCAGGAGCCAGAGTGATCGTTACGGACACATGGGTGATTAAAGTGACCACCTACTGTTTACATGTTGCCCAGCAGCAGGACATTCACCTGACGGTGACAGACTCCAGACAGCACGAACTCACACCAGATTCCAACGTGCCTGTGCAGTTCCTCACCATCCGAGTTGCCAGTGTAAATCCCTACGTCAAGGCATTCGATATCCGGTAAAACAACTGCTAAACCTGTTATGTTACATGTGTGCTGTTTGATGGTGCTGAGGGAGCACATTTGTGCCCAGTCTGGAGACTCTGGTCTCATCCCTTCCTTTCTGGTCCCTGCCTAGTGTTCAGGGCTGCTGTGTGTGCAGTTCTGCCATGCAGTGCAGGGAAGGTTGTTTAGAAAGCTTCATACACGTGCAACACTGAATACACAACGGATAAACAAAGGGATTTGCCTCTTTGATCCATTCTTAGGGAGAGGATTGTGCTGGATGCAGAAGGAAGTAACTGGATGAAATTAGGTGAGAGATGGAGAACAGCTATTTGTCTAAAACTGTCTGATGTTCATCCACGACTTTGGATTTTTCCTTGTGTTTAAGGCTCATAATTTCATCACTGTTTGGAGGAGTTCTCACTGAGCTACTGCGAGCCAACTGCCCCTAAAACAAGGAAGAAATTTTGGTCCCTTTCTCATTTATGTATTCTCATAGCAGTAAATCGTGACAATTGTGAACTGTTAGGGCTTGTTTTGCAAGGGCCCATGCTGTTTATCTCAGCAGTCTCTGTGTAACCAGGCTAAAGTACAAGTTGGGCAGAAACCTCTGAGTAGAAGGGTGCTGAAGTCTTTGTTGTTGTGTTATTAACAGCCATGTTAGTGCTCCTAAAACTATATTTGAAAAGGTATTTGAGTTTCTCTTTGCTGTAAATTTGTATGTCAGGAGCATTTATTAGGTAATCAGATAATTAAAAGCAGGCAGATCACCAGACTTGTAGGTCTGCAGTGGGGCAAGCATGAGAAAGGCAGAGGTGATTGTGGTAAAAAACCTCACAACAAGAGGTTAGTTAAGGTAAGCATGACAATGCTAAGAAAATAGACTTTTATAGACCTGTGACAGTGGTGACCAAATTGGTATTAAACAACGAATGATTTTCTTCTGCAAGCACTTCAGTGCCAGAGTGGTAAAACTACATTCCCAGCTGAGAAAATTATGACTTGTTTGACTTTTAGGGAAAAAAAGTCCTAAGCCCAAACTGTATTTTGTGACTAAACAGAATAGCATGAAGAATGTGTTTAAAAGCTGTTTTAATAAGATGTCAGTAAATCTCTGCTAGAATGCAGCAGAATCATACAAGATCATTGTATATATCCAGAATCAGAATCAAGTACAGTGAGATGTTTCTGGAGGAAAAATGTTTTTGTGCTGGTGGGCCATGTTTCCCTGCATGTTCAGTGTGAATTGTTCCTCTGGATATAAATATCTCTGATTTGCATGGACAGCATCTGTTAAATTACATTATCCTGTAGCAGTAAAAACATTGGAGAGAGCTAGAGCTAAGCCAGCCTTGCATTGTGCTGGGCTCAGCGAGCTCAATGAGCAGTAGGAAAACCAGAGCAGTCTTCCCAGGACATTTCCGTGAAAGCTGTTTAATGAGTGGAAGCACTGAGCTGGACAATTCTGACCCTACAGTTCAGAACTCTTACAGTAAAAAGGGGTGACAACAGGGATACATCACTGTAGGATCTGTGTGAGGTCTCAGGTGCCACTTGAGTGCTGTGGGCATCACTTAAATTTCATTTACAGAAGCGGCTGGTGTGAAACACAGCTTGCTGCAGCCTTAAATCAGCAGTGGCTTGTGACCTTTGTGAAATTTCTGGGATTGTGTTATGATACAATCTAAAATTGTGTCATAAAATCACAGAACCTGATTGACATTTTTTTGCTACTTATGTAGTACTGTATCACCTTGTGATGCCTGCTGCATGATATTTCTCCTAATTTCTCCTAACTAAACTCCTCAGGAGTTTATAATTGAGGATTTAGATAATTGTATAGGAAAATAGGCATTAAAAAGGTGACAGAAATGGTGCCAGCAGCACTTTGCAGATAATGCATGATACCTATATTGCTTTTGTTCATGCTGATTACCTCCAAAGCCTTTATTTTTGTATGATGTTCTAGCTGATCTCTGACATATCCTGCTGACAATCTTACACAGATATGAATGAGGACAGCGTGCTCTGTTGACCGAGTTGTGCCAAAACCAATAACTAAACTGCAGAAGAAACCAAGAAAACACAATGCTGTGTATTTATTCTGACTAATAAGTACCAGCTTTTCTGTGGATTCACTTCCTTGATGTTAACCTCTGCAAGGTGCTGTCATGGTATTTGGGTGGATAATCATGGTAACATTTTGCTCCATCTTTTCTTCTTCAGGTTGAACTCCACAGAGTATGGGGAGCTCCGGGAGAAGCTCCGTGCTCCAATCAGCAATGCAGCTAATGTTGTGATCCATCAAAGCCTTAGTGATTTATTTTTAGAAACCTTTACATCTCTGGTGGAAATAAACCAGACATACCATGTTCCAAGCACTCAGGTGAAACTTTCTATCCATATGAGACTGTAACAATTATACTTTCAATATAGATGACCCTGTGATTTCTGTATAAATGATAAATGTTTACCTAGGGCTATCTCTGGTGAATTATTAAGAGAATTCATTGTTGTGAGGTTAACAAAAAGGTTTTATTAAAAATATCGATTAAACGACAAATTATGATTAAGTTATAAGTATCATGTGATTACTGCTTAATAATCCTCATTTAATAATTAAGCAGTATTCAGTCAGTAATTAAATGGTAATTGAACAGCAGTTAAACACCCTACTACTTGCTACACTTCTAATAATTCAGCTAGCTTGCATGCAATATGTTTTAGATCTAATATAAACTGTTACTTACCTTGCTGTAGATAACAGATACCAAGTAAGGGATCTCTTGATCTCAGGAGGTCCTTTGAGAGGTCTCCTACCTGCCTGAGGTTGCCCTGCAGGAGAGCTCCATGGGCTTGGGGGCTGCAGTCGTTTACCTAGAGAGTGACTGGTGGTTAAAGTGCCCCTTGGTGTGGGTGTACAGCTGTAGGACTTAGAGTTTCATCTCACTGGCCCCTGATAAGACATGGCCTAGATTCCTTAACTTCCTGAGAAGACACAGCAAGCACAATTTCTTAGGGTCTGCACAGCCAAGACTGACTCCAATCAGGCCTCCTGGTCAGTGATGCCAGAAACCCAAATGCTCTTTGCTCAGTCAGGGTGATGCTTCCCTCACAAATACTCACCTGCTATGTCAGTAAACTCGGCCTAAATGTAGCTCTGGCTGCTGCTTCTGTTCCTGCTACGAGGAACAAACTGTATTGAGAGCATTATGGTTTTGAGACATGAGAAATAACATAGCGAAATAAATTCCCCTGTAATAATTGCTACTAAAATGTTACATGGACACATTTGGAAATGATGATGTTGCAGAAGGTTTAAGGGGAGCCAGTGCCACAGCTGCTGTTGCTGTTCTTTACACAGCTTGCTCCAATACAGCTTGCTTTTTTAGACAGCCAGGTTTTGCTGGATCTTCTGCTGAAATAAACTAATTCTTAATTGGGGTTTGCTTTAGTTATAATGATTATGGCTGTTATTATATGGTGTTAATTATAACAGCACAGAGTCCTACTTCCAGTAATACTCACAGAGACCTGATCATTATTATACTTGTGCAGCAGTTGTGACTGGAGCACTGTCCAGAGGGAACCAATTAAACCAGTTCTGATGACCCTGCAGGGAGTCTGTGTCCAGTGGTTCACCTCATGGGGTGAGGGGTTGGTATCTTTGGCAGTGTTGTACAGCTTATATGGTTTATATAAACTAGCTAAAATAAAACTGGATCAGGTGTGTCTGCACATTATGTTGTGTTCTGATTGCACTGCTAGTGAAAAGAGATGGTCACAATAAAGAGAAGATATTAAAGCTGCTTTCTTGCAGAGCATTTAATTTGTGACGTGGCAGCTGAGCTACTAAACTTGAGTTTGACATTGAGTGATAAATGACATCACAGATGATGATAAGGACGTTAAAAATATAACGTTGAATTTTTCCCTGAAGCTCCATTAATATGTTGAAAAAGTTAGTTAATCTTTCTATGCTAGAATTTTTCCTGCTTAAAAGTTTAGATAAGACCCAATTTCACAAGCTAAAGCTGAGTGGCTTGTGTTCATCGGGATCTGCTCTGCAGTCTACCTGACGGTGCAGCTGAACAGACACTTCAGGTGACAAAGGAAGAGTCCCCGGAAATGGGAATTAGAGACCACAGAGAGAGGTGGTTTTTGTTCAACCAGGTGCATTTTGAACAGATTCAGGTCTCTGTGCCTATTCAGTGTGCCGTCTTTTGAGCTTTGTCAAGTTCTTGGACAGCTAGAAGACGTGGGAAATGCTAATTATTGTTTATTAATTGTAAAACATTTCATAGCAAGATGTTGTCCCCATATGCAACTGCAAGTTCATGTGGGATAATTAACTATGGGCAAAATCAGTTATTACAATTCTATCCAAGAAAAATTAAGTTTCTGGACCTTCAGGATGAGCATCCTTGTGTTCAGTACAGCCCTGGTTTCCTCGTTTATGTCTCTTACTTAGAAAGATGGAAGATAGCTATTTGCTATTTTAAGTGGTAAGAACCGTTTGCTTGGTTTGTTATCCTTACTTTATACTGGTATGTTTTTGAAAAATAGTTTGAATGAAAAAGCTGGCTGCTTGCTTACCTTTCTGTGGCTGCTGGAAGCTCTTCAGAGTGAAAGAACATTTATTTTTCAGTCATTTTTGTTTAATCATGAGTCTCATGCAACAGTTCTGGGTTTTCTGTTCAGAGAGAAGCTTTGCTGTCATTTATTAGAGTGTTCAAATAAAACCATTTGATATCCTTTGGTGGGGCAGTTCTGCCTTGATTATTCTGCCACAGATGATTTTCTGAAAGCCTTTGAAGAGCAATAACATGAACCATTCTGTGCAGTTCCCAATTTTGATGGTTTTTCTCCTCCCTCAGGAGCTGGAGCCATGCATAGGGTGTATGCAGACTATTGCCAACATCAAGCTCATCAAGAACTGCCAGGAGCCGAACGAGGGGGAATGCCAGCAGTGCTACTGCCGGCCCATGTGGTGCCTCACCTGCATGGGCAAGTGGTTTGCCAGCAGACAGGACCAGCAGCACCCAGAGACCTGGCTGTCGAGCCAAGTGCCTTGCCCGACTTGCCGAGCCAAATTTTGCATTCTAGATGTTTGCCTAATACGATGAATAGTAACTTGGGTATGTTTTAACTTTTTTAATTTGACTGTGTTTGACTGGTTGAAGACCTGCTAGATCTGTTACTGAGACTTCATGTTCTACCAGGGTATAAACTCTAAAGGTTTCTTTTACAGTATTGAAAACAGATGTAAATCTTTTCAGTTTCTTTTACAGTGTTGAAAACAGATGTAAATCTTTTCAGTTCCTTTCCACTTCTACCTGTATCTGTGGATTTTACTCACCTGATGTCAGCTTCTGGATTTTAATTTTGTTTAAACCTCTGTTTTCCTTTCTTACATTTTGGATGGAATAAGGTTATCCTTCTATATTTGAAGTACTGTTGTTTTTTCAGGTTTTAACGTAGGTTAAATTCTTTAAATTTTTAAATTTAACTTGGGTTTTGATTCTTCAATAAAGGGCTAACTGAGAAAATTGCTTTGGTTAGACTTCATTGATACTTTTGTTATTCTTTAATCCAGTTGTAAAGTTATTACTAATCTTTGCAGTTCTTCAAACAAGTGTAACAGTTACGTTCCTTCAACTGGAAGGAACTACTTCCATTACATCTACTCACAAAGGATTGCAGTAGGCTAAGAAACGTAATCCCTGAAGATTTACGAGTCCTGTATGAACCTTCTATTCCATTAATTTGCCTCTAGCATACTTTTTGATGGATGTCTTTATTTCAAACAACAGAAGGATTTGTCAACCCATTTATCTACATGGTTAAATATTGTTGGTTTCCAGGAACTACATTTCTTAGGGTTTCAATGTTCTTTAGGTGATGAGACTTTTTTTACATACATTTGAAGGGAGTGCAGCAAACATCTGAGCTTTAATTTGTAAATTAAAATCACAGGTGGGTCAAATAGAGAAAGGAATACTTTAAAGCTTTGGTATACAAGAATAAAAGCTCTTTAATACCTCCACCTAAATAATCAAAAGGATCTTACCAGTAAATCATGGGCAGAGGTGGCATGCCAGTGATTATATGACAACCCCTTGATTACTATGACAGGCAACTGGTTTGAGCAGGAACAGGTGGCAGGATGTAAAAATGGTACAACTTTGGAAGCACAGCCATGAAATACGAGTCTCAGCTGAGCTACAGTGAATGGGTGTGAGTGAGTGAATGCACCCATCTGCACTTGTAACCAGCCAGGAAATGGTTACAAGTGTGCCTGCAAGCAAGAATTCATAGAGGGGTAAGGAACTGAAGACAGATCTGACAGCATTGCTTGAAAACTAATATTTAATTGTTGGTGTTGGATTTTAACTTTGGAATTTTAAAATAATACTAATTTGTAAAAATTCAAACTAGTTGAGTTTAAGAACATTTACTGCTTCAGCATGTCTCAGTTCCTTTATATACAACATCTACTATGCAATTAAGTAAACTACCTGATAATAACAGTGATTTTTCTGTTTTCCATTACCTGCTGTTTTGTATTGTACAGAGTGAAAATTTGACACTGAGACAGGTTGTGTGGATTTATCTCTCTTTCCCAAAGAGATCTTCAGTGGCATGTCACTCTTCATCTGAATAGAATTAATTTGAGTTCTAGAGTTTCAAACAGATTTGTTGGCAAGTCTGAAAACTAATTAAAAAATCTAGGAGCCAATCAGCAATTGAATTTAAAATATTTTCTAGTACTTCTGTGGGAAAGTTATTTCCAGATTTAAAATGGTGTCTGCAGGCTTTTTTAACCTTTGCAAGGTTCTTACAGGGCCGGGTGGTGTTGTCTGACATGCACCTAATCACTACACAGCAGCCTTTACAAATAAGCATTTTGTAGCATGTGCTTCTGAAAAGTTTACATAATGTGGCATGGATATGTGGGATGTGGCCCTTGAAATGCTTGCAGAAAAGATGGCACGATTTGGGAGCTGTGTTGTTGCCACTACCAGTCATTCACTTCCTATTGCACTTTGCCTGTTTGGAATAAAAATATTTATTGTGAATATTTATGTGAAGCTAAAATCATAAAGGCCTTCAGAATCTCAGATGCATGCAGTTGCAGATGATTTACAGACTAAAATCAGGTCAGTTGCCAATAGTATCTTATGTAATAAAAGCTTTAAATTCCTCATTGCTCTTGCAGTGGAATCTACTCTGAGTTAATGGGAAGTTTTCACTCCAGTGGAACGTTTTCTTCATCCTACCTCTTTGTCAATATAAAAGTACAACAGAGTAACAGTCATAAATGTTTTATACCCTTGCATCTTTTAATGCTCTATCCACAGAAGTGCCTCTTAGTAATAATTACCAAAATAAAAACACAATTTATGTTAATGATAGTACATGACTTATATTCCTTAAAACAAGTAGTTTTCCCTAAGTTTAAATTCTCAAAGTAATCTGACGTGCCTCAAACATTTGTGAGCTTCTTAAAGGCTGTGTTAGAGAAACAACTTGTTAAAAATCCATATTAACATGAAAATAATAGACTAGAAAAATAGGCATTTGTCTTTGTGGTAGCTTCAGGTTATCATCCAAAGAGCCACATGTACATACAGGGCCATTTCTAGAGAAGATCCTAGAAGATCCTCTCTGTTTGCAGTAAAGAACACACCACTGCCTCCCACACAATCTTGATACATTTAAATAGGAGGATAGGGTTTAGAATCAGCTTTCTTACAGTATTTTGTGAAAACAAAACAAAACAAAACAAAAAAACTCAAAAAACCAAACAAAAAAAAATAAAAAACCCTAAGTAATGCAAGTGGCTAAAATATTTACTGAAAGAATTTTCTTTTTTATTACTGTGTGTAAATTAGTGATATTGATTTAGTTTTGCATTTCCAGCTGTATGCTTCTCCACATCACTGATTTGTGGGTGGGCAGTGCTAGTAATCTGAGGTATATTATATAAATGTGATGTCATTAAACTAAACACAGCCTGTTGGTGGACTGTGTCAGTACAAATACCCCATATGAGTGTATCATGTGTAGCCCAAATTTCCTGGCATGCTGCAGCTCAACAGATCTTTCTCAAAACATAGGTCGTGGCAATATTTATTTCCACAGTTGTATTACTTCTGTAATTGTAGTGTCCCAGGGCATATTGATAAATTTGTTGTTTCTTTAGGTTAACATAATTTATCAACCAAAAAAAGACATTTTTTTTTCCCTAAGCAGGACATATTTTTAATCCATTATATGAGTACAGTTTTTCTACTATGAGGTTTGGCATAGCTTGAAACCAAAATACCAAGTTACCATGAGATCTCTTCAGTATGAATATTTTTATTGTGTTGACACTGGACCAAGTTGCCCAGAGAAGTTGTGGCTGCCCCATTCTTTGAAGTGCTAAAGGGATTTAACAGGACTTTGAGCAACCTGGTCTAGTGGAAGGTGTCTCTGCCCGTGGCAGGGGAGTAGAATTAAATGATCTTGAAGGTCCCTTCCAAATCAAACCTTTTTCTGATATTGTAAAACTTGCTAGACTGCAGCTAAGCACCATCCAGTCAGGACAAACCTCAGTAAGACTGAGGTTCTCAGTGCCATTTAAAAAAAAATGTTTGTTGACTTTTAGCTGTTTAAGGAGTTGAGATATAAATGCTCAAGCTCTTCCATGGATTACTAGACATTTTCTTCCAAAGACATACTGCAGGATTTCTTATTTGTGGTTTTTGGGGTTGGTGGGGTTTTTTAGCTAGATAGCTTGCCTGTTTAAAATGAACAGTGTTATTTGGATAGCCCTTAAGGAAAAGCCTAAATGAATACATGCAGTTAATCTTAAAACTCTCTGAAGAGCTCAATAAAAATATAGTCGATTCTTTGTTAAGACTTGTGGTTTTAATTTTAAAGTTATGTTTACCACATAAAACTTTATATGGGTAGAAATCAGTCTGGCTTATCTGTATGGAGTGTCTTACTTGAGAACATGGGAATAAATACAAATAGGGCTTAAATTCTCCTGAAGGTGTACATGGTAAGTCCTTCGATGGATTTTCTGACTACAGCCTGAATGCAGAGGGTTGCATAAATGGAAGAATGCGCGTATGAAATCTCTATAAGAACCTCAGGGGACGAAAAGCCTCCACATACTTTTCACAACTATCAGATGGGAAGGAGTGACACTGGATGTCATGAAATCAGCAGGGGCAACGACTAAAAATTGTCTTTCCGAGGAAGCACTGGCATGTAGCAATGGTGTGTCCTACATAAAACATTTATTTAATCATGACCTTGCTCAGATTTATTACTGAGCACCAGCAATAAAGAATCTGTAACATTCCTGTAGAGGACCTATTGGAGTGCGTCCAGAGGAGAACCATGAAGATGTTCAGAGGGATGGAGCACCTCTGCTATGGAGACAGGCTGAGAGAGCAGGGGGTGTTCAGCCTGGAGAACAGAAGGCTCCAGGAAGACCTTGGAGCACCTTCCACTACCTAAAGGGTCTCCAGGAGAGCTGTAGAGGGACTTTTGACAAGGCCATGCCATGATAGGACAAGGGGGAATGGCTTCAAACTGAAAGGGAGTGGGTTTAGATTAGAGACAGGGGAAGGAATTCTTTGCTGTCAGGGTGGTGAGTCAGAGGCTGACCAGAGCTGTGGATGCTCCATCCCTGTAAGGGACCCTGTTCCAAGCAGGCTGGATGGGGCTCTGAGCCTCCTGCTCTAGGGGAAGGCGTCTCTGCCCATGACACGGGAGTTGCAAGTAGATGGTCTTCAGGGTCCCTTCCAACCCAAACTATTCTGTGATTTTATGAAACTGGCTAGCCTGCAGCTAGGTACTATTCCAGTCAGGATAACCTCAGTAAGACTAAAGTTCTGACTGTTTTTCTTAAGAAATGTTTGTTGGCTTTAAGCTATTTTAGGAGTTGAGATATAAATATTGGAGCAAGTTATCTCTCAGGTCCTTTTCAAGCCAAACTGTTCCATGATTCCATTAATGGTATGAAATGTGGGACACATTCTTGTAGCTTGTACGTTGTGTTGGCCACCAACCCCTCACGACGTCTAGCAGAAAAATAACTTGTCCCCAAACGAATCCTTGGCTATTGCGTGAGGTAACGCCTTAATGTGGGAGCTTTAATTCTAAAGTTAAGGTTATCAGGTAAAACTTTAGAGCGTTTTCCATGCCTTTGCGAGCGGAGTGGGCCGGGGGATGCAGCCGGAG